ACTGCCCCCATACTACTGTCCCCCCACTACTGCCCCTATACTACTGCCCCTATACTACTGCTAAGACGAACGTGTTGACCAGTTTTACTGCTGTACTCAACATAGACTGAGACAGAGACAACATAGGGCATAGTCTGGCGATATATATGAAATGGAAGAATTCTATCTTAACAATATTTTGCATATGTGGGTAAAATAGCAAGCCTGGATAAACCTTTCACCCTCAAATTCTTCAATTTAGATTGAAAGTCAAGTACGGTGCCATCCACAGATACTGTAGTAGGATTACTGCACTGGCTTTACATAGTTGATGGGAGCTGCCCAGAAACATGACTTCAGTTCTGCAACATTACTAGTGATGTAAATTAGAAATCCCAGAAATATTTAGATGTATGAAATGCTTTAATTTTTATCAGTGACAGAGAGGTAGGCAGACATGCTAAACTGCAGTATAACTCTACTTGGCTTTAGAGAACTAAAAACATGGATGTGAACTCCTTCTTCTTTAGTCTAACATTTATTTTCCAGTAACAGAAGTAACAGAAGCTGAAAATCCCATAATAAAAAGGAGTCTTACTAAAGATTACATCTGAAATGCTAGTTTTCCATACTGGGCTAATAATTCTCTAACTTGGACCACAATGAAATTCAACATCTATCATTTTCATTTTAAAGAGTGTCTTTTCATGGTGGACAGTGCCTCTGAGTGCTTTAAAATGAGTAATTGAGCAGGATTCCAAATGTTGTAAGTCTTCACTGTCAGGTTTCCAAAGTTAAAGAGACATATAATGCCTGGACTGCAATGGAACAGAATTAATGAATTTCCTCGACAGCGTTTTGTGCTTTCCTCCCAGGTGTATATACTGTACCGATTTATCTGGGAACAATGGAACAGGAAAGAAGGGAAGCCAAAAACTTTCAAACTCTTCCATATCTCCACTTCTCCCTGTCTGAAATCTAATGTGCAGACAATCTAAGTCCAGTTACAAAACATTCCTCACTATTATTTAGCTCTTGCAGTGTTAACATTTAGGAATCTAAGGTATATACGTAATGCAAAAGGAAAGAAAACATATATTAGCAGTTCTGTGTTTAACAAGAGGGTTGATATTAAAGGACAGGGCATTTAAAACAACAGCCTGCAACTTCTAACACTACATTAGAAAAAGGAACGCTTCAGTGAGCAGGTGTACTTGGAGAGGTGTGTGACTGACACACAAGTAGCTAAGGGAATGCCAAAAGACAATCACGCATTCAGAAATTAATTAGGAAAGAACAGGGGAAAAAAATCAAGCTTCAATCCAGCACAAGGGAAGAAATGACATGTCAGGAAGAGAGCTGTATACAGTAGGTGTTGATGTGAGCCACAGCTACACATTTATCCTAACATATCTCCGATAGGAAATAATGTATTTTCCTGGATTGTACTTTCAAATGGCTCCAAACAAAAGGCCCATTAGATTATTTTAACTGTATGTTTCAGAAAAGTATTGTCTCACATGTACAGCTTCAAAAATCAGAATATATGCAGAATATACAGTATATCTGTTCAACACAAAATCAAAATTGTTCATGTGCTGCTTTCATATACTCAACAGCTGCATTGCATTCAGCATGTTGGGATTATAAATGATTAAAGGCAAAGAAACTTAATGCAAAGCGTGGATGGAAAAGGGAGAGAAATGCAGAAAATGAAAGTGTTTCAAGTCGTCATTAAAGTTGCAGATTACTTAAATGGCATTTCTGTGCTATTTCCATTTTTCAGGCATCACTTTACAGTCTGCTTTTCCTTAGGGAGGTTTGTGTCATCCATAACAGCTTCTCAAAAGCAAATGTGCAAAATCAATGCCCCAGGCTCAAGATGTGCAAATCACAACTCTGCTGGATTGGATCCAGGTCCAGGTATTTGGGATCCTAAAACAGCTGATGCGCAGGCAGAAACTCAATTTCAAGCCCAGCGAGAAAGCTGGAGTTTGTGAGGGCTCTGCACTCAGTATCCAGCTCAGCTGGGGACTCTGGGTTCAGTAAACACCTCCTGTAAGGCAGGTCCACTGAGCTCCTTCTGTTCCCGTTTCCCAGCTCCACTCTTCCTCCCAGAGCCGCTGATGGGCCTCACGTCCTCTGCTGTGGAGCACTGCGCCACACCTTCCCCTAATTCTGTTACACTCCTAACTGCAGAAACAATATTTCATGCAATTGTCATTACTACTGTACAGTATATTAAATGACAACAAAAACAGAACTCTACCTTTATCCATTTACTTTATTCAATTCTGTCATTCTTTTTGAACATTGTTTATTGCATTGCTTTATTTATACTGCTTATGTTACTCATACCATTAAAGCACCTTGACTTTCACTCTGAGAGGGAGGCAGCATGATAAAGACAGATTAGCTGTGGTTAATTCATTGTTCCTGGAGCCTGGCTAAACTCAGGCTTGGCTCCAGTTACAAAATTTAGGGCTCACTCACCCCTAGGGACCAGGCTTCAAAGAGGAGTGATGAAAGGCTATAGGGGAAAACTGACTTGATCTTGAAGAGGAGCTGTGCTGAATTGTAAGAGGGAGAGGATTAAGACATGGAATTGTGAATTCCAGAATTGCAGGGAGTGTGGAGCACAACTACTGTATAAACAAATTAAGTGCAGACAAATTAACAAAAACAACACTTATTTGAATAGATCAGCTAAAACAATATCAATCAAAAAAGTGAAGGCACATCAATAAAATTACTTGTCTGTTTATCAGAGGTGAGTCTAAAGGGAAAGTATGTACAGTATGTAATAAAAAGCAGTTTAATACTGCACTC